GGACTACAGGCGCCCGCCACAACGCCCGGCTATTTTTTGTTGCAGTTTGGCCGGGGCTGAGGTTTGAACCCGCCACCCTCGGTATATGGGGCCGGCGCCTTACTCACTGAGCCACAGGCGCCTCCCTGAGCCCAGGAGTTTTGAGGTTGCAGTGAGGTATTATTTGTGCCACTGCAGTCCAGCCTGGGGGATAGAGTGAGACCCTGTCATTAGAAAAAAAAAGTGTTACATTTAATCCACTATAACCAAAATATTACTTCATGTGATCAGTATATAAAAATACAAAATGATACTAAATGTGGTATCTTGCATTCTTTTACTTAGCAGGAAGGCTTCCAGATCCTGTGTTTGTTTTATGAAGGTTCCTTCGAAAGGTCTGAGCAGATTGTGTTATGGTCCATATTTCACTTCCCAGAAATGTAGTCCATAACGGCATCCTTTCTGATTCATCTGTGCAAGTTCCAGCTCACTCGGCTTATTGGTATTGCTGGGAAGGCTTCATTTGTTTCTGTCCTTGTAGCACTCAATTTTTGTCAGCTGTGGAACTGGGAAGAGAACCTTTCATGAGATGATTTTAAAAGTGGGGAGTGAGTCTCAAGGCCTTGAGCATTTGCAACAAGTTTTTTTGGGAACTTACTCCTTCCCACGTGACAATTTTTCTGTGGTTTCAAGAATTTAGAAGAGGCTGAACTTCACTGAAGAACAAGAGGAGTCGGCGTCTGGTGACCACTGTGACTGAGGGGTTAAAAAAAAAAGGTTCGCTGAAACACTTGAGTGACATTTGAGGATGTTAAAGCAGCACTACAGATTGGATTTTCAGCAGCATCCAAAATCCTGCACAGTTAGCTTTAAGTCAGGAAAGTTTCTTTTTTTTGAGACAGGTCTCACTTTGTTGCCCTTGGTAGGGTATCATGGCATCACAGCTCACAGCAATCTCAAACTCCTGGGCTTAAGCGATTGTCTTGCCTCAACCTCCCAAGTAGCTGGGACTACAGGCATCTGCCACAATGCCTATTTTTTAGAGACTGGGTCTTGCTTTGGCTCAGGCTGGTCTTGAACTCATGAACTTGGGCAGTCCACCCACCTCGGCCTCCCAAGTGCTAGGATTATAGGTGTGAGCCACCTTGCCCGATCTTTACAAGTCGGGAAAGTTTCATCCTAATGGGCGCCAGACACTTTGGCAAATGAGCAAAAGCACATCCATTTTGTTTTTTTGAGACAGAGCCTCAAGCTGTCCCCCTAGGTAGAGTGCTGTGGCATCACAGCTCACAGCAACCGCCAACTCCTGGGCTCAAGCGAGTCTCC